TTATTGTAATTTTCCCAGTTTGTAAAGAACGCATTCATATATTTTAGTGAAAGTCACCAACTTTTTTCCAACATAATGTGAACACGAAATTAAATTGGTCATTAAAATTAAATACATTTTTAATTTTTAGTATTTTTTGGGTATAAAATGTTTTTTTTATTATTATTTAATTTAACCTTCGGTAGCAAAGTCCATTGAGATTTACAAAAAATATTTACAGTACATAACTTACAATAAAAGATTATAAATATTGTACGATAATTAGTTTTACAATTTATTTAAAAGTATGAAATAGGTGTTTTTTGAAAATGCTGCCTAAATACAAATTCTAACTACTCCAGAAAGTTCAAACACAAATCTTTAGTCATTCGTGTTGAAACATTGTGTAGTATAATATTATCTTCACAAAATTCCATTAGACTTTGTGACGACGTCGTTTTTGAATATTGAATTGTATTGAACAAATCAAAATCTATTTTTTTTTGTTTTTAAGTATTTGAGCGTGGACGTGTTAATTTGAAAAACACTCGAATTTACCGGTTCATCTCACCCGTGATATTTCAATCGGATCGAAATATTCTGACTGATGTGCAAGACTTACTATGATCATATGAACGTATCAAATTTAATATAAAAAACATGCACTCGAAAATCTCTCAATTTTTTAATCGAGACATTCGAATAGTAATAATATGCTAAACTATCGATTAGTCACCAGTGAAGTGATGAACCGGAAAACAGACGTGGGACACTGACATAATATTATTGTTTTATTGCCCGCCGCCAAAAGCACAGGTTTTTAATTTATTGCGTAAGACGACGCCAACATAGTTTGTTAATAATTTTTTTTACCTAACCTTCTCGCTGTTGTTATATATTTTTTTTTATTACCAGGCACGTTTTTAAGCGACCGATTGTTATTAAACTCTCCTGGAGAGGTGTCCGTTCCCGGCGCACGTTGCAACTGAATCGCGCAACTATTATAAATTAAATCTCCATCGTCCAACTGTATAAGGCACTGGCGACGGATTCGGCGGCCATGATAAGCGTACGAAAAACGATTCCGATTAAAGGACGCACATATATACACAACACGGTGTTTCGGGATTTATGAAAAAAAGCTCCAAACCGAAACCAAAAGCGATTATTATTATTATTACTACCTAACGGCGGCGGTCGTCATCGGGTATTATAGTGATATAAATATATGTGCACGTATGAGTGTGTGTATGTGTGTGTGTGGGTGAATGTGTGTGTGTGTCGAAAAATATTATATTTGTTTGAACAATCGGCCCTCGGGAAATCACCCATGCGAGTTATTTCTGGTCTCTCTCTCTCTCTCTCTCTCTCTCTCTCTCTCTCTCTATCTCTCTCTCTCTCTCTCTGTCACTCTCTATCTCTCTCTTCGCATCCCTCGACGACGACGCTTCGGTGACCGCGGTGGTACCTATATGCCCGTTATTTAGTATATTTTTTGTGCCCACGCTTTCATCTGGATCTGAAACGACGAACCGCAGACGCCGATAGTATGCCGCCGTAGCGCATACGGGGTGATTGAAAAATTCGAGTTACAGACATTTCGACAACTCGCAAAAATTATGGCGGATTTCCGATCACTCTGTATAATACAGAGAAATAAAAACGCTACGTGCATTACGAATACACACCGAAAGGTAAATATTATCTGTGCTCGAGTTCAAAGCCTTTCGGGCGTCAACTGCGTAAACGAGTTATCTCCGCCGGCGAACAACAATAATACTCGTAAGTCACGACATAAACCGCTAGTCTTCTTTGCCGCTGGCGTTCTCTCTTCCCCTCACTAAAGTCTTCTTCGCCGTTTTTTCCCCGCCTTTGCCAGACAGAACAAACAAAAAGAGGTATTTGAAAGGACCTAAATTTTTTTTTTCCACTATACACCACAATACCACTGGTCTGAAGTTTGCGGTGCAAGTGTTTTCGTTACGTGCATTTTGATATCGGCTAAATTGGCACGATTAGGGAGTGACTTACGGCCAAATTATTGTCATATTAAATGAGTTGGTGAGCATACCCGTGGAATATTCGAAACACTAGAAACCAAGATGGATAATATGCGTTGGAAATAGTTCAATAAAGTACGTCCAATTGAAAATAATATTATAATATTATCTTAAACAATATTCGATAAAATTAAAGCCCTAATGTATCTGTTTTGCATACACGATGCGCCGTGTAACACAGAATGCTAATATAACGCACCACTGACAAGAAAAGTCATATACCAATGATTCTGAGCGGACTTAAGTCTACTCTGATATTGTTATGATACTATTTCGGTGCGAGTTTCGTTTGTTATAACTTATAAGACATAATTAACAGTAAAAATTAAAAAAAGGTTTCGATTTTTTCGTTTTTCTATATTATTCTCAAACATAAATGAAGAAATTACAAATCTATTGGGTCGTTAATATTTTAAATCACAACCAAACAGTTTTTGTTAAAATCCTGATTAAATAATGTGGCAATGTATTAAAAATTAAATATATTTACGATAATGATCGATAGTGTCTCTCCATTTGTTAAGAAAATTCTAATAATGCCCATTCGACGAAGGGACATTTTTGAAATGGTGGTTTACATTTTAGACAAGATATAGGTATTTCTTCATGCATAAAAAATAGAGATGAAAACATTTTTTATGGGTCGTCCAAATTGAACGAATAGAAGATTTTCATTTGATTGAAATTAATATTTTTCGCTTCATTCATAACGCAATGGAAATCGTTTGATATAAAATGTAGTATACGGATAATATTTCAACACGCTGGATTTGAGGAAATGACTAAATCTCTTATCAACATTTTTTATGTCTTTTAGTGCACGTATTCCATTAAATATAAAGTAATACTATATTTTTACTCCCACGTCTGAAATAAAAATAAATAAGTAAATAGTTGGATGTATTTATACGATACTCGTACTTGTAAATTAAAATGTAATTAGATAATATTATATAAGCTGGCCTTCACTACCCACCTACATTTCACGTTGCAAGTTGATTAGGAAAAAAACTGTACAAACCGATATTTGTGACTAAACTATGAAAAAAATAACCTTACCAACTTTAATTATTTGTAACAATTATACATTTTACATCTAAAGGGTATTAAGTACACTTACGATTATTCCATGAATGTATGCCATAAATTATGATTGAAAAAGAAAACATAAAATTCACATTTGCAGATTTTAAGATAAAAAAAAACATATTTGCTAAACACAAAAGTACAAGACGTATATTCTTAAATCAAAAGTTTATTACCGAGTCTACGACGATGCGAAGTGGCTTGTAATACTTTACGGCTATCGTTTCTCGTGTAAGGCGCACATACATTCTTCCAATTCAATCCGATAAAGCTGTTCACATACCTACATATACTTACTACGCTGTTTTATAATATAATACATCGACTTAAGTTCATGTCTATATGTATAGATATGCGTTTAAGCCAATGATACCAGCAATGAAAGATATCTTTTCCATTTATATTCATGAAACATTAAACATCATTTAACTCGATTTCCATCGAGATGACATATACTACGTTTGCATTTCAGAAGCATTATAAAATTTTTTTTTTTTTTGTTTGTTTGGGTACTTCAACGTGAACATTAAATTTCATGGTAATTGTACACTCGGTCTGTTATTATGTAAGTCGATTGTTTAAGAAAAACAAAAACGATAAATATAAATGTAAATTATTCAATATGCAAAATAAAAACGAGGGAAATCGTTAATACTAAATAGACGTATTAGGTACTTATAATTTAAAATAAAATACGAACATAGAACCTCTAACTTATTTTTTTAAAGTATATAATATCGTTTTTCATCTAGCTAGTTAACAGAAATAATAGCTATTCATTGTTGAAAGCAAACATAATTTATAGAATATTTGGTTTAAGATAACGAATTTGAACGTGTTTTTTTTTCTATTTTTTGTACTCAATTACATGAAATACAAATAAATTAATAAATTAGGCAAACATTGAATCGTGTTCACTCGATATACAGCGGTCACTTAACCTCAGCTTTTACTCAAAAATAAATCAGTAATGTTATGAAACCAAACGTATTATGTATTCGTATTTTCTGGATACTTATTTTCTTTCTCTACGCAAATAATAATTATACTCAAGAGACTTAACCATTTGGCTCGCATAATTAACTATATCGACACAGAATAAGTAAACGACGAGTAGAAACGTGTGGACTGTAATACGCGTTTGTAAATAAATGATTTTCAATGACGGGAAAGATCGCGATCCATCTTTTTTTGAATAAATATTTTTTATAAAACTCGTCGTTTAACGTATCGAAATTCATCGGGACCCTCACTGTCCTATATCTATCATGTACCAGCAACTAAATATACTCCTTTGAAGCCGGATTCAGGGCTACGTCTTGTGTTGTGTCGTGTCGATTAAATCGCATTGTGATTGGAAGTCAATTTTTCGGTATCATGAAATAACCGAGATGCAACCGAATGTACCAAGAATTGACTGCAGCTCAACTCTTAAACCAATATGGTTACCAGTTGTTAACATAGCTACCACGCCCTCGACGACTAGACACACGACTTAGCAGTGAATCCGACTCAAGTCAAGACTTGAGTCGGAATGACGGTATGTTGCTTTTAACTTTACGCTTCACGTACGATGCACATACGACCACACATCACATGCGCAAACATTTTTTTTTATTATTATTGATTTTAATTGAAATCAAGCTCGGCAACTATGGACATTAGCATTTTTAGGGGATTACGGACTACGGTTGGTCCGGGACACGTGTATCTGTGATTTGTCACTAAAACCCAGGTCACCCATCCGAGAATTATAGTGACCTCGGCCGATGCTTAGAACGCGCTCTGTGACTGAGGACAACCACTACGCCACTCCGGGCCACATCATAATATAGTAGTATTTTATCCATTATTATAATATTGCTAAATACTCACGTTCTCAGTGTCCATGATGTTGCAGCACTGGCCAACGGACGTGATACGCTGGTGAGGGTTGATCATCACTGTGTCCGCCGGCGACGGCACCGCCCACGATTCGCAATATCCTCTGCACGCGTTGGTTGTGATGGGGAATTCCACGCAGTTGGGTATGCTGATCTTCCTCGTGTGACCTGTCAATGATATGACAAGTAATATATTGTTAACAATAATAATAAAGCGATGCAATGACGTCACACATCGTGTTTGTAATATTATGGAATAGATTACGGTGACCATCACGACTGGCAGTCAGGTTGGTTGACTTGGCAAAGATTGAGCAAAGGATAGTGGATATGATGAGGATATTATTATGATAACTTCAGTATTACGACGACTGTCTAGGATAATAAATACGAAGAAACGAAATTTGTGTTTTTATAATATAACGTCATTACCCATGTTTAACTTATAATTCACTAAATCATTATTTCTATCGTTCGACCTTGGCGGTGTCAGTATACTCACTAACAATTGGTTTTTGAAACAACAGGTCGTATATTACCAAACTATGAAAACTATTAAAATTTAAAATTATTTCTTACGTTGTATAAAATATGTGTTATTATATAAAATCGAAACTTAATTTTCTGCGCTTCTCGATATCTAGGGCCGTAAAAATCAATAAATAACAGTAACTATATAAGCGGTAGGTCAAAAATGGAGGATTTAATTTAACAACGGTTCGGTCGACGTTTAAACGCCAGCGGGGAACCCCGATTAAAAGGTTCTGGCCACCTAACACAACAATACTATAATACCTGTAAATTGTAATGAAGCATATATAGTGTTAGGTCACTTAACCTAACCTAACCTAACTTAAGTGTTAGTAAAGACACCACTGGCACAATTCATTCGATTTCCCTACCTTTGTTGGGCTTAACTTTTAAACCCACTACACGACGCTGTCGTGATGGTGGCGGTGGTGAAGGAAATGTGGGCGAAGACGGGAGATTGTGGTGGTTATGGCGGTGAAGATGGAAAAGGGGAGAGGGGTGATGATGGTGATGGTGGTGCATCGATATAGTCTTACGATATTTTTCAGAAACGCAAATATATATATTTATTCGTACATAAATATGGTAATATTGTATTATATGATAGACGTCGTCATTTATCAAACAACACGATAGTAATATTATCATATCATATTAATGGTCCGTATACTATTTACATGACATTTGATAGTGTTACATAATATTATTATTATCTTGATACGATCTATTCGAATGCGGTTTCGGAAAAAAAATACTTAAAAAAATAAACCATCGTAATTTATAGCTACCGCCATTTATAGCATGTATTTTTGACGGTTGGAATGAAATTTGACACACACGCTAAAATACAATATTCGATGCGACTATATAAAATTGTTAACATACATCATGGAAGCTGTGATAATTTAATGTAACCATTAAATTGCAACGCAATTTGTATTATAGTAGATAAAACGAATTAATATCATATAGGCAGTCCGTCGATGTTAATGTAATCGTAACACAATATTAATCGCACAGTTTAAGAATGAAACGGTTCTAAGACGATAATATTCCACGTTTTCGATGTATAAAAAAACATTTTAAACTTCGTTAATTCTCCTGTACGTTGATGAAACTGGTCATAAAATATTATTTTGGCTAACACCAAACAATTCTACATGATGTTTTTATTGCTTGTTTGACTTACGTATTAAACAACACGGCTAATTCTCGGTCAATCGGCTAAAAATAGTTAAATCTCCAAGCACGAAAAAGATTCTGAATTATTTATTATATTTAACCGACGAAAAAAAATGCACGCGTTTCGTCCGCCCCGTGTAAACTTGTGCCTGTAAATATTTATATCCCGAACTCGAGAGGAAAAGTCGTGGAAATGTCGTCGACACCCTTGGAAGTTACGCGGACGGCGTGCGAATTATGCCCGTCCCAGATGGTTTGACGCATTTCCCAAAAACACTTATACTGCACTCGGCCATCGTGTATCTCATTTGGATGTGACTGATGATAGGAAATAGAAACAATTAATGCGAAAAACTGATTGTCATAGTATAAGTGAGTAACTATAAAGTCGTATACGAAATAAACACACAGCTGATACAGACACAATAGAGTGTAAAAATAAATATAAGAACGAACAGTACACAAACGACCAATATTTATGGCGCCAACCGGCGCGGGATTAAACGTCACCGTTTAGAATATAAACAAAATAAGCGCAACGATAAGGACAGCGGTCGAGAGAATAACGGAAAAATGTCCGCGGTTTAGGTGTTTTCGTTTCGACCCTCAAAGTGCATAAATCGGTACACATAATATCATAATTTTTTATCGTATTTCTCATGATTTTATCGTGTGTTGTATGAATTTTTTTTCAAAATTATTATCCTTCACCTATCCGTATTCCGTTCTCGGCGGATAAAAAAAAAACATCCGTCGACTCTTGATTTTTGGACAACCTGTGTTTTTTGTTTACTAGTATTATGAACACTGTTCAACGAAATATGTTGATATAAAAAAATATAGAATCATAAACTATTTTTGTTTACAACAGTTCAAAGCTTAGACGAGCCTAAGCCCAGAAAACAACGATCGGTGCTAAGCGCCCCAGATATTTCGTGAAAATTTAATATGTCTATTTTGGTAGCAGTGTCGTCTCTATATACCACACGACTATGGTTCTTGTTGTCATCGCGCCGTATACTCACCTACTTTGTGGCAACCTGGTTTCTGCCAAGTGTTGGAACCAGTCGCCAACGGAGACGGCAACACCGCCAAGATGAATATCGACATCATCGCAGCGCTTTTCCACCACCGAAACTTGTCCATTTCACTGAAGTAAGACATCAGACTCGATCTGAAAACCGATATTTATTTTACAGATTATTATGTTATTAATAGCAAATTGTTACTGTTATTATGGTTATTATGATTATTATCGTTATGATTTATGAAGTCCGAAATGTTAAAATTTTACTACAAACAATTTATATAATATGCAGTGTTTAAAATATTTTTTTCAATGAATTCAAAGTATTTTCTGATTCATTTCGATGGGTTCAATGGCACTGAAAAATAAAAAATACTACCAACAATTACATTGAACTTCGCGGTAGAATGTGGTAGAGTCATACGACTTTCCTGCGAATATAACTTTTTATGTATATATATAGATATAGGTTGTATTTTTTATTTAGTTCAGTTGTCGAAATATACATAGGTATTTAAGTTTCATACTATATATACTATAATATATAGTATGAAAACTTCAATTGGGCGTCGACTGTAGACATTGTGTGAACAAAAACCAAGATGAAACGATTTTAAATGGTTTTGTTAACTATGTATACTTTACTATACCAAGGTACTGTATTTCCTGGGAACATATAGTGACCACGAAAGAAGTCACTGGAAAAAAGAGCGTGGAACACAATTGACATTATTCCCTTTTTTAGTTTTTGTTTTCATAAACTTTATCAATTTTAATCCTCCATAATAACACCTTCGCTATCGCACCGAAAATATGTGTAGACCACACGGCGTTCGAGCAAACTCAAACAGCAGATACATTTACATACTTCACTATGTGCCGACTGACACGTTGACTAAAATACGAACATAATACCATTGAGTGTATAATTCTTTATGAATATTATAATCTAAATACTCAATGATGATAAGTATAGTCATTAATATCCGTGCAGCATACATTCATTTCCCGCTATAATAATTTTATTTTGAACGATCCAAAAGTGAGGGTACTAAATTATTCAAAAATAAAAAATAAATTGCGTGGTGAAAATTAAAACGCTAGTTCTTAAAATTACACTTCTTTTTACGATAAAATCGCACTTTAATACTTTTACCGTTAAAAGTTTTAATTGAGTACTCTGAAACTCCAATTCTCTTAATGGATCCTATGAAAACTAATAATACAAACTATAATAAACCACACAATTCTAAAAACCAGTAAACCGTATAAACTGTTAAAACCAGAGCGAGGATGTGTGTTGTGTGTTGCCAAAAAACTTCAATCGTAAATTTGAAAAAATCATGTCTATTATATTTTCTATAATTTTAACTCACTAAAAGTACAACCATCTATTAATAATACATACTCTTGTATTACGTCAAAATTAAATGATATTTAAGAATTGCAATTCTTGGATACAAAATGATTTAGATGTTTTCATGATTTTGACAAATCTCTCACAAACTCAAAACTGTTCATTATCCTTCTCAAGATCGGCAACAGGCGTATTAATGTCAGAAATTAAATTGTGAGAGTTATCAAGTTGTACAAACCTTTTTTGAAAAATGTGGACCCTGAATACACGAAATATAGTTAATAGGTATTCAAAATTGTCACGTTTACCGTTTTGTATGACATTCAACTACGTTCTATGTTATATTATTCGTAGGGAACAAATTATGTACTCCGAGATTAGTAATTTTGTCCATCACGTACATTAAATTTAATGCTTTGAGCAACAGCATCATTCCAATGATCACCCAGCTGGTAAATTAAGATAATTGTTATAAAGCAAATGAATAATATTCTTTCAAAAAATTAGTCTAGTATTAAGAGGTGAGTTTTGAATATATTTAGTGTATATAATATAGTGCATGGCTTATTATATTACTTATAGTTTTGACGTAGCTAGCTAGAAATTCGTTCAATAACAATACGAGTAAGTATGTAAGTCGTAAAATGATTATCTTTTTAGTAGTTCCAATTAATGATTTATAGTCAATACAGACTTATGGAACTGATTGTTTAGTGAAATCATAAAATAATAATATTTAAAATAAAAACTAAACCAACAGTATGTTTGTAATTCTAAAGTAACCATAATATGTTAATAAAACTTTATACCGGGTAATTGAATCATTTATATGGATCTAATGGTTTTAACTTGAACTTACTATGACATAACATAATTTGTTATGTTAATTTGATGCGGTATAGGCTACAATATTGTTAGAAAAACTTATCAAGTAGACCTCAGGTTCAGTACCGGGGAATTATTGATTCCGCCGAAACTACCTGTTTAAAAAAAAGGTTTGTATCGATTCCGCCAGCTATTAATTCCGCCGGCTACTGTTTATAATATTACACATCAATTCCGCCGGACACTGTTTATCCCCCCTCCCTGTATATGTATTTTAAAATACATAGTATATAATAAGAATAAAAAAAAAATAATTGTATAATTCAAAAATAAAATGTATATTATTCTAATTAATTCGTGTAAGTATGTGAATAAATGATAAAATATTAAAATGTATATAGTCTGAATTGTATAAAATGATAATAATAATTGTATAAATGTATAATTCAAAATTAAAATGTATAATCTAATTAAAATAAATATAACATAAATGTAACTACTTTTGGTAATATTTGGACACATGTTTTAAATAAGTAATCTTAGAAATTGTATTATTCTTCAAATCGTTTGATAATTTTTTAATATTTTGTTTTCACTATTTTTACTAATTATATTTATATTAATTCCAATTATATGTATGTAAGTGTCAGTTTGTTGACTCGTTTTATTTTTATTATTTTATACAATTTAAACTATACATTTTATAAAATATTCACATACACGTATTAATTAGACTATACATTTTAGTTTTGAATTATTATACAATTATTATTATTTTATATATATATATCATAAAGTATATTATGCAGGACTGTAATTTTAAAAATACGTTTACAAATACAAGGGAGGGATAAACAGTAGCCGGCGGAATCAATATGTAGATATTATAAACGGTAGCCGGCGGAGTCAATAGCCGGCGGAATCGATATAAAATCGGCGGAATCGATATACGCCCTCAGTACCTTCTGCAATTATACTGATTATTCTACTGACAGTTAATTTTCTTTATTGTGAATTTCTTCCAAATAACTAATTTGAGAAATATATTTTTTCTTATTGTATTTATAACATGTGATGATAACGAATAATTGACAAAAACTAAAAAAAATTGTATGAAATCAACTGGTTAAGATAACTAAATTGCCTACACCAGTGTAACCACATTAAGTGGAATTCGATGTTCCTACCTATATTATGTTCCATGACCTATATAATTTTCTCAAGAAACCAATTCTGTTAATTAAACCATAATCATAAAGTTTTCCATAGCAACTGTTAAGGATAGTGTACTAGTGTGGGTGAAATGGAAATAAGTGAGTAGGTGAAATATATGGTTATTATAACATAATCTTATGTTTAATATGCATAATGTGGTATTTTCATGCAAATACCTAAAAGTTAATATTCATTATTTAATAATTTTGGGATTTTATAATTGGTTTCCACTGTTTCCAAGCAATACTATGCTCAATTTTGAACTAGCGCTTCATACGATTTGAGTAGATATTTTAACATTTTGATGGTTTCATTTTGAAATTGTAAAATAAAATGATGAAAAAAATGTATTATTTTTCTACTCAAAATGTATAAATGTCCATAAAAATTTGGAAAAAAATACCTGAACATCACAGCAATACACAAAAATATCATATTGTTATTAGACATAAAATAAAAATAATGTTTACACATTTATATCATACTTGGATTGTATCTTAAAAGACTCAAAAATAAAATGTAAATTTAACTGGGGACTTTTAGTATTATATACTATCTATATATGTAGATTTATTTTCTTCATTCTTAATAAAGTTTTTTTTTATGCTTATTAACATGTATAAATTTAAATTTATTTCCCATTATTCCTGTTTTGTTTCGACGCCTATATAGTAGCAAAATATAAAAATAATGGTCGTTCGCCTCCGCAATTTTTAGCCGGTTAAGGAACTTTTGTTATTGCAATAATAACATCGGGAATTAAGAATTCAAAATACAGTCACTTTAGAAGTCCCTCGGACCTACCAACCTCGTAGAATATAAAATACCGGTACCTTTGAAGAGTTAGAATATAAAACATAATGCTACGGTATAAAAAAAAAATATGAATATAAAAGTCCAACGACAAAAACAACAGGAAAAGATGAATACAAAAAAAACTCGGAGCTTTATTCACAGTGGTTACAGACGTGTCCAGCTGCATGCATACACGATCACGTCCAACTTTATCAAACGAAATAAAAACCAAAACTAGTTTAGACGAAATTATTATAAAACCCCATCGCTGCAGTTGTATTATTGGCGTCAGGTCCTCTTACAGAGAACTGAAGAGTGCGTGCTCAGCGGTGTTATCCAAACCCTACGCACAGACATCGCGGCTTACACCCGACCACAATCGTACTGAAAATAGTGCAATTTTTTATCGTCAACGACGTTTATTGACGGCGATCCACAGAACCGCGGAGTCGGGGAGGGTGAGACACTCCCGCGGAAAACAAAAATCGACGCCTCGCGAGTTTACCAAAAATATATCCTAGAAACACGGTCGAGTATCAAATTTCAGCGTATTTAATTCTCATCGAAAATGTGACTGAGTAGTACCCGCACCCATTGTAATACGAATCGGCCTCGAACCGCGGTATCGGTTGCCATGACGTATAATATATACCGCACGTGTATGGATGAGGTATGAATATTGTTTTGTATTGTACACGCAAACAATATCGCCGCCGCCGATGAGACGTAAAAACTTTGACTGTGAGGTAAACTTACAATACGAGACTGCACTACAATGCAATGCACGTATACGTGGTGTATAGCTGGTGCATTGTGCACATTATTGCCACGACTCATTTGGAGAAAACCATAGTTCTGGTATTTTTTGAGAGTGGTTGGGGGGGGGGGGTTGAATTTTAAAGTGATGATTAAAAATAATTTATATCATAATATTATTATGTAGGTACTTCATTTT